GTGGGTAGACAAACCCTTGTTTCATCTTCGAGGAGCTTCTCCATTGATTCCCCCTCATAGATGTTCAACACCAACTTAAAAATTGTACTGGAAACAAAGCCTACGAGGCAAAGCAAGAAGAAACCAAAGAAAATTAAGAAGACAAGAAGGTACGCTATAAGACTTTCGTCATCGGAGAGCGAATCGCCAGCGAGGTTGTCGAGCTTCTTGCAGCGGATGATACCGTGCACAGTGGACGACAGAGTGAGGGAGAGTTTTGTGGTGGTGAAGAAATGGGAGTTTTGTGGTGGCGAATCTCCAACTTTTCTCAGGTAATACAGATGCTACGTGGACTAAATAACTTTGAAAAAGCCGTTCATGTCATCGCCGTCACGACATTGGCATGCCATGTCATCGTGCCGTCAACGGATTAACGGCGGAGTGGCAAAATTGAAGTGAAACATAAACGTCCGTGCTAAAATTGGCAAAATTGAAACGTCAGTTCCATTTTTGACCCCGAGCATAAAGATGAGTGGTATTTGACATAGATTACCCTTTTTTGTCAATTGACAACGCACCTTACAGACATAACTGCTCAAACTCAGATCCTATAGAAAGAACAACATTCAGTTTTATCCTTGATGTCACTTAATGGGTTATCGACTTCTTATTCAATGAGTTATTAACTTCCTACGAAAGGTCATATGTGTACTCTTTCTTCCATTAAGATTTTTTTCATAGGATTTTTATCTTATTAATATTTTAAAGAGGCACATTATATTTATACATATCTATGTATAAGTTAAGATTTTGATGTACTTTTTTATTATGTCTTCAATATTCATTAGTATTAAAGTTATATATTACATCTATCATTTTTGGTTATAAATATAGAGGTTGAAGAATTAATATCAATATTTTCACATTGAGAAAACAATAAAAATCTTTCTTTTCCCATACATCTACTTTATTTATTTATTTTACAACACAACTTTAATTATTAAAATAAATAAATAATATTTTTATAGGACAAAGAACATAAAAAGGTAATTATTTATGGGTTTATTAAAGGATTGACTTAAATGTTGTTTTAAATAGTCTAAGATGATCATAATATAATATATATTCATATTTTTTAATTAATTGAAACACATATTTTATAGACACAACTGTCAAACTCAAATCCTGTAAAAAAAACAACATTTACGTTTATCATTAATGTCACTCAATAGGTTATTGACTCCTTACTCAATGAGTTCTTAACTTCCTACGCGAGGCCAATGATAATAAAAGTAAAAAAAACTGACACCCCTAAAGTTTTAAAAAAAATTCATTACACACGATAAAGATTGAAATTTTTTAACTAAATCGTTTTAGAAAATTTTATGAAACTTTGGAAAAAAAATAATAGTTTAATCAAACTCCATCACAATTGTTAAAAAATTTCATTAAACCTTCTAAAGTTTTTAAATTAAATATATCCTTAATTTTTTTATTAAACTCTCAATATTTAAAAAAAGGTAAATTTCATAAATATCACTGATGTTTGAGTAAATTTTTGTTTTCTCTATTAAAGTTTCAAAACTAACGAATTGATAACTAATATAATTTATTTATAACAAACTAGTCACTCACCGTTAACCTTGTTATCGAAGATAACATAATATAGATATAACACTTTATAGACTTTGACTTCAACAAAAATATATTTGTAATAAATCCTTCTCTCTTTTTCTACATTTCTTTCTCTTCTTTATCTTTTATCATCTTCCAAATAATCATTGGTTTTCACATCATGAAAATATATGTTTTCCTTCAATGGGTAGCTTGAGTGTCATCAATAATCGTTTGGAAAATCCTAAGGATCCATCGAATTCTGCAAATGATTTATGCATATTGAATTTAGTTTCAGACCTACATCTGCAAAACAGAAAGAAAAAAACTTTTCTGTATCAATTCCAGACGTAATCAAAACAACATTACCATTTTTGTATAGGAAAAGGAGGGAGCTTGTCTCAACAACTTAGATTGCATGGTTTTCTTCATTTAATTAATGTTTCTTTTAAGGTTCATAACAATGGCAATTGCTGGCAATGCAACCAATTGATCAATCGTGCACACCTATCCACTTCTTAGAAATACAAATAAAAAACCTCTATAGCCCTTTTCCTAGTTTGATCTTCACTTGATCGGCAGCTTGACCTCAGTTTTCCCACCATTCCGGAAGCTCATTGTTCCTACCCTCAGTTCAGGCGGCTCAAAAGCGACTTGAATCCATTGATTCAAGGGCCTTTTTAACTTTCGTGCACAAAGATACAAATTGCTTGTTTGTCATGAGTAGGAAAATCAACGGTTATTTGGAAGATGGTGAAAGATAAAGAAGAGAAAGAAAGGGGGAAAATGAGAGGGAGGGGTTTATTAAAAAAATATTCTTTTTGAAGTCAAAGTGTGGATAACGTGATCATAAAGTATCACATCAGTATTATGTTATCTTGAGTAATGGCGATTAATGACGATTGGTCAATTTATTATAATTTGATAATATTAGTATTATAAATTGATAAGATTAACGACTAATCAAATTAATGATATTTTCCCGTAGTTGTAGGGTATTCTGATAGAACAGATCTTCCTCTTTAGACTTTTCCACTCATGGTACGCGCTAATTTACTCGCTTCAAACTTCAAAGTCATTGTCTCACTCTATGCGTCCAACAACAAGAATAATCAAATGTACACTGCTTCGTCGTCTAAATCACAAATAAAACTCTGGGTTTTCTTGTTTCTTTTGTTGGTGATAAACAATGAAGGGATATTTTTCCAGCTTCCTGGTTTTGGCTTGGATGCTTCTCCCGTGGCTTGTTTTGTCAGCTGTAACTGAGAACGATATGAGGTGCCTTAAAGGAGTCCATAGTTCGCTACACGACCCAGATGACAAAATAAGCAGTTGGAATTTCCACAACAATTCCGTTGCTTTTATATGCAATTCTGTTGGAGTTACATGTTGGAACCAAAGGGAAAGCCGGCTGTTTAGTCTTGAACTTCGTGACATGAAACTTTCGGGACACTTGCCTCAATCTTTGGAGTACTGTGGGAGTTTGCAGACTTTGGATCTGTCGGCCAACAATCTTTCTGGTAATATCCCTCCTCAGATATGTTCTTGGTTACCTTATTTAGTAACCCTCAATTTATCCAGCAATGATCTGTCAGGTCCTATACCTCCTGAATTATCAAATTGTGCTTACTTGAACAATTTGGTATTGTCCAATAATAGACTCTCAGGGCCAGTTCCATACCAATTATATGGCTTAACTAGGCTGAAGAGGTTTTCAGTAGCAAATAATCATCTTACCGGTGTTATTCCTTCAGCTTTTGAGGGACATGATAAGGCAGATTTTTCTGGGAATAGAGGTCTTTGCGGGGGTCCTCTTGAAAATTGTAGGGGTACAAGTAGGAGGAATTTAACCATTATAGCTGCAGCTGGGTTTATTTACTTTTTTTTCCTCTTCTTTTTTATAAATCTGGGACCTCAAGGTTATCGGGACCTTAACTGGGTTGTAGGTGCTGTAGTTTCAATGTGGTTTGGGTTTGGGGTCTGGTGTTGGCACCATTTGAGATGGGTGATGCTGAGGAGAAAAGGGTTTATCGGAGGGGATGGTGACGGTGGTTGGGCGGAGAGGTTGAGAGCACACAGATAGACTCAAGTTTCATTGTTTCAGAAGCCACTTGTGAAACTTAAGTTGGCTGATTTAGTGGCTGCCACAAACGGTTTCAGTGCTGAAAACATCATGGTTTCCACTAGGACTGGAACTACTTACCAAGCATTGCTTCCTGATGGATCGGCCCTCCTGATCAAGAGACTCACGAGTTGTAGGATCAGGGAGAAGCAGTTTTGTTCGGAGATGAATCGATTAGGCCAGCTTAGGCATCCAAATGCAACACCCCTTCTGGGATTTTGTATTGCAGGGGATGAAAAGCTGTTAGTTTATAAGCACATGTCTAATGGGACTTTACATTCGTTATTACATGGTAGTATTGCAGCTGTAGATTGGCCAACTCGGTTTCGGATCGGTTTAGGTGCAGCCAGGGGTCTTGCTTGGCTGCACCATAGTTTCTGGCCTCCGTTTATGCAGCAGAACATCAGCTCCAATCTGATTCTTCTCGACGAGGACTTCAATGCCAGGATAATGGACTTCGGAGTGGCAGGGCTTATGAACACCCCAGATGTTTTGGGTGAATTTGGCTATGTAGCTCCAGAGTATTCAACCACTCCTGTAGGTTCACTTCAAGGGGATGTATTTGGATTCGGAGTCGTGCTTCTCGAATTGATAACTAGGCAAAAACCCCTGGAAATTAATGCCGGTGATGAAGAAGGATACACATCCAAGGGTAACTTGGTGGAATGGATAAATAATCTCTCAAACTCCGGAAGAATCAAAGACGCTATCGATGAAACTCTCTGCGGAAAAAGGCACAATGAAGAGATGTTGCATTTCCTCGAAATAGCATTAAACTGTGTCAATCGTCGGCCGAAAATCCGATGGTCAATGTACCAGGTTTACAAGTCATTGAAAAACATGGCTGAAGTAAATGGTTTCGCAGAAGAATTTGATGATCTCCCACTGAGTTTTTAGTGAATCAATGTAGCCTTGTGAGGAAAATTAAGACAAATCTGCAGATTGTGGTGATGCATACAAAATTAAATATTTGTTAAAATACTTTATAGTTGTTGAACTTTAGGTTCTTAAATCTTCAAAGAAAACTTCTTCTCTGACCTTTGTTTTACAATGAAAGTAGAGACTGGTTCTTGAACTTAAAATTAAGGCAAGTAGACAAAAATGAATTTTCTTGTATAGTTTCACTTTAACATGAAAAACTGGTAACGAGGAAAGTTGATAGACATATCGAGGGATCGATTTCAAAAACCTGCTTTGTTTGGAAACAAAGTCCACTTCACCATATCGCAACTCAATTATCTGTATATACAGCTATTAATGCTTAACCATCACCCTTCATAGAACCCGGAAATTGCCCCCGAAAGGCCGCTTTCTAGGAGCATACGTTACAGCTCTTTCTACAATACCCAGGAGAGGCATCCGTACCCACCATGTAATTAGGGTTCCTTTTGCATTCACCGGCCTTCGCCCAGGCAGGACAGCTCTCATTCTCATCAACACAATCCCCCATTGAAGATCGCCTTCTCGATTTACTAAAGGCCCTCACATGGATCCACTTTGTTGCTGACCATTTCTCACCCTTTATCACTGGGCAACTTCCATGCAAACTCTTTTTGTCTGTGGTTGCATCGGGATGCAGACTGAAGAACAGTAATGCATCCCCTTTTCGTGGTTTCACTGCAAGTATTGGCAGTACAGTTGTGTCAAATACCAAAAGCTATATGGTTGGGTTCTAGTAAATCAATTAAATAAGAACAAGATATGGCAGGTTGGCAGTTAAATAGTAGTATCTGCGGAATTCATTGGAATAGCCAATCGAAGTTGTCGGACCATATACCATACCCGTAATTAAATGATTCATGATGATTCGGATACTTGTTCTCCGTTTAACTGAGATTTTATTACTTAGAATCAAGACAAAGTTTCATTATCACGTTCATGTGCTCTAAAATAACTTTAAATCTCCAAGGGTAATAAATTACACCTGCAAATCCGTTTTTCGCACAATCTGACCAGCTTTCATCCTTGATCTGAGTACGTTTTCCCTGCAGAAGGAAAATAGAGAGCGCTGAACTAATAAAATGGAAATGTAACAATGTTATAAACCAAGAAATCGTTAAAAACAGACAGAGACAAGATTTCACATCCAAATGCTTACATCTGCATTTGGAAACACAGTTTCCCCACCACTCTCAACATCAGACAAATACATCAATACAGTGGCAATACGATGACCACCCAGCTGTTGGTTAGCCTTGTCATGAAAATAGTCGAAATGTGGCTCATACTTCTGACCATGCTCATAGTGTAGTATTTGTATGGACTCTCCATTCTCTGTTTGCAATGCCGATAAGAAAAAGGTCTGGCCACATGGATCAAGAAGTCATAGAGTAACAACAAAGAAGCAAAAAAACATACCTTTTGGAAGGAAGGTCCATGCCGCAATCCATGCTTCAATATCAGCAACTACTTCATCCTTTCATCCTGCAAGTGAGAAACAAAAGACATAACACAAGCCTTTTAAGTTCATAAGGCAGCACATAAAAAATGCATATCAAACAATAAGCATAGACTAAACAATCTCTAAACTAAATGAACACATAAGAAACACTTGCATGCATGCACCTGTGACATTAATTTTAAGGCATTGATTTGATAAGGTATAAATGAGCGAGAGACGATATGGCTAACTCATATGTAATAAGCTTTTCAACTGTTCTTAGATGAGGAAACTAATTCTTTTGGTAAAGAAACAAGCCCTGAGATTATGTTTGACTGAATCATGATGGAAAAAGAAGAATCATACAATGCATCAACTATCACCCAAAAATTGGCTAATTAAGAAGACAGTAAAAGCAGAATATAATTTCTTACAGAACATCAATAAAGAATGCCTGACAATTCTGCCATTAAAAGGTTCAAAAGTCAAAATTATTTTTGCAAACTTTTAGTTAATATGATCAAATTTGTCAATACCAAATGCAAGTTCTATAAAAACAGAGCATACTTGAATTATTGTTACCGATTTTATAGCATCCAATGGAGGGGGGAAGGGAACACTGAAAGACTATGAATCTTTTATCTATTCTAGAAAGCTAGATGGTTCATCCGTTATTCAGAAACTACAGCAAGATTTCATTGCATGAAACTACATACTTTCAGTTTAGCCCAACAAAAAATAGTACAAGGAAATCAAATTCAAGTGAAATATCAATTTATTACCATAAAAAAGAAAAGAAATATCAATTCAGTTTACTTCTATCTATAATTATAGTCGTAAATTCACCATTTGAACATGGACATAGTAGAAAATTAACAGCGGCACCGCACTCTAATATAAAAAAAAAAATTCCAATTGATTCACAGATTCAAGCTAAAAAACAAAGAAAAAAGGGTAATTTAATTATATACCTGAGCTTTCCTCAGAAACATGCCGGAGCTGGTTCGAACTTCACTTTCGTCGCTTTTACCTGATTCATTATCTGCCACCATTGATTTCTTTAAATTATCCTTAGCCTGAAATTGATATGATTCTGTTTTTAAAATGAAATAATAAACAAAAATATATATTAAAAATATTGTCGCTTACCAGAGTAATAAGGTGATCACATTCTTCACTCGTCAAAAATCCTTGGTAAATGAAAGCCCTGCAAAAACGGGGGGGGGGGGGAAATTAATCGTACATTTCCCAATTTTGAATAAATTAAACTGAGAAAATAATAAATGTAAAAAAAAGGAACCCGGGGGGGGGCGGAGAGGAATGAAATATACCTAGGATGCCATGAGAGTTGAGTAACATGAGTGGGATCAAACGGAACCGACGAAGATCCTGTCTTCATTTTAATAACCGATCCATTAATCTCAGCCGAAGTCAAATGCAAATGAAGGAAAATGAGAGGAGAGAATCCGAGAAAATGCCGAGAATCCATGGGAAAATGAAATTGGGATTGATTTTTTTGGTTTTCTTTCATTAAGTACTTAATTATGTTCTATTTAAGTGGGAAATCCATGGGGAAGGCTTCTTTCTGTTGTCGTTAAGTAAAAATGTCAAAACCATAAAAATGAATCCGGACGCTTCACAGAAAATAAATGAAAACCATGTGTTTTTCACTTTCCAACTTATATAATGGCATAATACCAAAATTAGCCTCTATTCTATTTTTTTTGGAGCATTTTAGCCCTAATATTTTATTTTAAGACAAAAAAATCCCTAACATTTGACAATTGATCCCTTATTTTTTTTTCTAGGACATTTTCACACTCAACGTTTCATTTTAAGTTAAAAAAAATTCCTATTTTCGAGTGTTAATAGTGTATTAACTAATGATTTTCATATATAGTATTTTTGTCCTAAAATGAAACGTTAAGGGTCAAAATATTAAAAAAAAGAATACGTGCAAAAATGATCATTTTGATAAATATTGGAGGCTATTTTTAGTATTATGTCTTATATAATTTTCCAAATTTTGGATTAAAAAATTAAATATATATATATATATATATTGGAAAATGGAACATTTTGTATGTTAATAATCATACAAAACAAAGACACAGACATGAGCCTCGTTAAAAAATTTGTCTAAACCTATAGGAGGAAAAAGAGTGCACCATGAATATTTCGGAAATACATTCAACTTTCAAGCCAAAAACAGCCCTCCACAGCAAGCTTCACAAAACATAAACTAACACCCCAAAGAACCGAAAACAACCCCCTAACAAACATAAGCAACGCTCAGTACAAACATAATACAAATCTGCCCTATACAACTAACCAAACACCGTGTACAGAGTCTCATGGAAATTGGTCAAGATCAAGGCCATTAAAAACAAAAGACAAACACCCCAGGCCAATTACACGACCCCCAAACAGCCCTCAAAACCAACTTCGCTCCACGAACTATCAAACACCCAAAATAAACTGCCTGCAACATAGAGAGGGACAAAAGCAACTCAAACACGCTTTCAGCCAATCACCTGGACGGTAGGACTGCACAGCGAACCACTTACACACCAGTAAGCACACTCGATTTCTGAAAACTTCACATTGACATAAACAAGGCAAATCCAATGGATAGCTTCCACCACGACCAGAAAACAGACGAAATAAAACTTCACTTTATAGAAAACAAATACTCAAAAGATGCACCACAAGGAACCACACGAGAAATGGCTTCCATAAGAGAAGCGCTCCACAACCGAACACTCGTAACATAACAACAGCTAAACACGAGTAATGATCATCTCCAACAAAATACTTCACCATCAGAAAAACAGAACCACACACTACACGCTAGGACAACATCCTTGGACAACGAACAAACTCCCCAACAAAAGGAACAAGGTTAGGCCACTTTGCATTACCCCAAGACCCAATTCTAAGTAGAGTCGTCTCAAAAAGAAGATTTTCAAAGCAAGAATTTTTATTGAAAACAACATCGTTACGACAGAGTCATATAGACCATATTATCCCAAAAAAGCCAAATTCCAAATAGGTTTAAATACTTTTTTGATCGGTTGATAGTTCCATAACAAAAGGAGGCTTCCCACATTACCCGAAATAACACCGGAAAGGTTCCAAATTGAACACCACCTCAGCCAGAGCCTCCATGCCACCCTACAATGACATAACAGATGCTCTGGGGTTTCCTGCTCAACACGACACAAGACACAAACACAAGAATCAATATTAGGAACTCCTCTTAGATAGTTCTGTTAACGAGGGAATTCTTTGAAGGAAAAGTTTCCACACGAATGTTCCACCTTAGGTGGGGCAAGATTCGCCCACACCAACTTCCAAACAAAATCCTTCTCCACACCATCCCATACCATACTCTTGCAGTAATTTTTTGGAGAGTACAGCCCCGAAGAGTCACCCTTCTAAACCAGGCAGTCGGCTACAAAACAGCTAGTTGATGCTCTATTTAGAACATTCATAAAATCATCCCAAAGACTATGCTCCCAAACAAAAAAAATCCTTCTAATCTCGACATTCCAAGACCAAGAATCATTAACTTTGGAACTGAATTTACAAACCTTACCAGACTTCTTTATTGCAATGGCGAAAATTCTCGGGAAAGCCAAACTCAACGACGAGACTTCAGTCCAATTATCCTCCCAAAAATCGATGGACCTACCATCCCCTAACCCACATCTAATATTATTTCTAAAACTGTCACATTGGACAATGGAGCTGATATATTTTTCCACACTCAAGAGGCTTTTCTCGGATGCACGAACCACGGAAATGGGGACGATTGGTCAAAACCGTACTTGGCAACCACAACCTTCCTCCACAAACAATCCGGCTCGAATTAAATCTCCATAGCCATTTGTTTAATAAAGAACGATTCCTTGTCCGAACATCAAACAATCCCAAACCCCCTTGCAATCTCAGTGCACACACTCTATCCCATTTCACCCAGTGAATAGCTTTCCCAGAGGATGCACCCCATAAAAAACTTGCAATCAGTGAATTTAACTTTGAAGCCATCGATGAAGGCAATTGAAACAAAGATAGGTAGAATACTGGTAAATTATAAAGAACATATTTAATCAAAGTGATCCGAGCTCCAAAGGAGAGAAACTTCCCTTTCCACCCTTCCAATCTTGAGTGGAACTTATCAACAATAGGCTTCCATAAGTCGGAATAGTTTTTAAATTGTCCCAACGGGAAGCCTAAATATTTCGTAGGAAATCTATCCCACTCGCACCTTATAGTAGCTACCCATTCCATGACGAGACTATCTTCAATGTACACCCCATATAATTTTTACTTATTCCAATTGAGCCTTAACCCAGAAGCCACTTCGAACACTCTTAACAATCTCTTTATATTTCTTACCATCTCCAAATCCACTTCAGATAATATTACCAAATCATCTGCAAATTGAAGATGGGAGACTCGCATCTCAGAAGAACCCACCACAACGCCTTTAATCAAACCAGACTCAGCAGCTTTGTTTAGCAGACCACTCAACGCCTCACCCATCAAATTAAACAACAGAGGAGAGAGGGGGCACCCTTGTCTTAACCCTTTCCTAAAGTTGAAACTGCTAGATGGAGAACCATTTACTAAGATCGAAATTGACGCTGTTGAAATACGCAAATTATTCCACTATCGCCACTTTCACCCAAAACCCATCTTTTTTATGATAAAATTCAGAAAACTCCAACCCTAAGCTTTACTGAAATCGGCCTAAAAAATAACCGCTTCTCCTTTCCTTTTAAATAAATCATCTAAAATCTCATTGGCTATGAGGGAACAATCAGTAATTTGTTTCCCCGCAATGAATGTGAATTGGTTTTCGCCCACCACTTCCTTTATACAACCGATAATCTCTTTCAAATGACCCTGGCCATAAGCTTATACAGACTACTCACTAACCAAATAGGTCTGTAATCTTCACAACACTCGGGAGCAATCTTTTTCGGAATGAGAGGAATGAATGATTGATTGAAACATTCATCATTCAAATTACCCCTGTGAAAATCCTCAAAGAAATTCACAATATCCTCTTTTAGGATGTGCCAGAACTTCTGATAGAATTCATGGTTGAACCCATCCGGCCCTGGCGCCCGAGACCCGTCAGCTGACTTCAACGCACACCAGATTTCATCCTCGGTAAAAGGGGCTTCGATAGCTTTTCTTGATGCTACCTGTAACTTCTTGACTTGAACTCCCCATCTTCTATTAGGAATCAAACTAAATGAATTATAGCTCTCCCTGAAGTAGTTAGCAAAAACCATCGAGATTTTCTTCGGCTCATTCACCAAACAATTCCCAACTCGAATGGCGGAAATATTATTTGACTTACCTCGAATGGAAGCAGTAAGGTGGAAAAACTTTGAGTTTCGGTCTCCCTCCTTGAACCACTTTAATCTGGATTTTTGCAACTATTCCCTTTCCTTTCTACGATACCTTGACCATAATTCAGATTTGAGTGAGCGGAACTCTGCCAGTATTCTACTGGGGTTGTTAGATACTATCACTGAAGATTCGAGGGCCTCAATTCTACTTCTATTTCTGAGATAGATGCTGATTCTTTTAACTTTACTTCTTTAACCCACGATTTCGGCACACTTTTTATCTCAGTCAGAAATCAACCAAAACCTTGACTTTTGCACCTGCTCTTCACAGATTTTACCAGCTTGAGGTAACCTTGATAATCGGCCCAACGAGAGAACCATTTAAAGGTTCCTTTGCTTCGGATCACCCTTTCTTCTTTAAGATAACGGGTTGTGATTGGATACAGTTCTCGACAATATAGATTGGATTAAATTTGGAATTCTCACTAAGACCTCAGGGGAAAGAAGAAATCTATCCAATATGGTGGCACTAGTCGATGAACCCCCTCTAAACCAAGTAAATAATCCTCCACTCTCCAGATACCGGAAGGTCGACCAGTTCTCTATTCCGAATGAACTCACCAAAGTTGGACATCGAACAAGCATTAGCAGTTGCACCAATCTTTTCCTCTGCCACTTTCACTGTATTAAAATCCCCACCAGTTATCACTGGCAACCCCGCATTCACGATGAAATCACTAAGCTTGTCAAAAAATGCTTTCCTTTCATTATAGTCATTTGGTGTGTAAACATTTACCACCATCAACTTCAACTTAAACAAAGGTAAGCATCCTTGTAAAGCCAAAAACCTCCTGTCAATGATCTTCTTGTCCACAAAAAAATATCCCATAAAGCAAATAGGCCACCCGAGGCCCCCTCCGATGGAACAATTGCCAAATCACTGCCCTGCCTCCCCAGCAGCCTTTTACACAAACTCGGTTTTACTACGACAAGCTTTGATTCTTGAAGGATAATTTTAACTCTACACGCCGAGATTTTTCTAGAAGTAGCCCTCACTTTTTCGGCCTTTCCCAATCCTCTAACGTTCCACGTAACTATAGAAAGACTCATAAAAACATGATAATTCACACACGATAGACAC